AAAAAAAAAAAAAAGCCCAAAGCCCAAAATGACTAAACACCAAGCTTTTAATTATCGGTCGGGAAAAAAGCCAAATGTAAGCAAATGCACTATTTAAAAAGCCATTGCCCTCTCAGAAAAACATCAGACGATTTTGTCAGAATATGGGACATTTGATTGAGAGGGGTTGTGTGGACAATAAAACATGACTTATGTGAAGCATCAGAGCAGTGTCTTCAAAGATCTGCTGAGAAATATAATGCTGAAAGCATCTTCACAGTGAAGAACGGAGGAAGACGTGTCATTGCGTGAGGAGCCTTTCAGCTGCTGCTGCTTGTGAGCTGATCACTGTCAAAACTCAATGCATGCTTTGGAGAACATGTTTTCTACAGATCTTGAATCTTAAATAATAACCAATAATAACCTAACCAAATCACAAAAATGACCAAGAAATGGCTCATGTTTTGGCCTGGTCAAAGTCCAGGGCTACTTTTCCCCGAAACCTTCTTAATGCTACGTCGTTCGTAAGTTTTACCTTAAGTTGTACCTTTACGTTACAGTTTTTTTCAATTGCTTTGGCACATTTTTAGAAACCGTCTTAACATTCTCTAAACTGTGAGTGCAAATGTCACAACTGTTTACTTCAGAACTTTATTGCATGTCTGCAAATGTAGTTACTCACCCAAATCATTTCATTCATGCTTCAAAACCTAGTTATCGTGTCAGTAATTTGGCCAAGGCCACCAAAATATAAAGTATTTTTGTCATCGTGTGAGCCACACTGGTCAAAATGTTTAGTTGTTTTTTCACCATGACAGTCAACCATGGAAATTAAGGTTTTGTAAAAAAAATCTGATATTTGTTGAGAAGAGTAAATAGTACATAGAAAAAAATGTATATGAACATTTGTATTTATACAGTACATTTATTTTTGTACGAATGTATTACATGTCAAGTGAAATCTTGCTTGTCCAATTACAACCTTGCTTGCTTGTACATTTAAAATTTCTTATGTTACCACAAATACACAAAAATACCAAATAACTACAAAATAACATCCATGGAAAAAATTATTCTTGGTGGACATCCTGTCACTCTTGTTGGTCAGGCCAAAGATTTTCCTCAACATCACATCTGATGTTTTCCATTGCCATGCACCAGGGAAAAAATCTCCTTGAATGCCGTACCCATCCCCTGCAATGATCAGCTGTGATGTCCTCACATGCAGCATTCATGGCATCCAACAGAGACATCTGATCTTGGGGTCTATGATCATGTACTTTCGAACTCCATGCTGAAAAAAACCCTTCTATTGGATTTAGGAATGGAGAGTATGGTGGAAGGAACTCCACTGTTATCCTTTCATGTGCAGCAAACCAGTCCCTAACAATGTTGGTTCGGTGGAAGCTGACATTATCCCAGACAACAACATAATTAGGCAAATGTGGTCTAACTAAACCTCATTCCTGTTCTGGAATCAGGTCTCTGTAAAGTGTGTTTAGGAAGGCCAGGAGAAGTTGAGTATTATAGGGCCCAATGTGTGGAATATGTGTGCTCACACCATTCTCTGAAATGGCAGCACACATTGTAATATTGGCGCCACATTGGCCTGGTGTGTCAGTTTTGGCTCGGTGTCCAATGAGATTGCGACCACGTCTCCGGCCTTTGGGCAGATTGAACCCGGCCTCGTCCACAAAAACAAGAATGTGGGTTGTTTCATGTCCTTCTAACTCCATGATTCTCTACGAAGAAACACAGAAACAAAATAGTTAATTTTTATTCTAGGGTTCAGTAAATGTTTTCTCTTCTTATGGGTTTCTAAAACTTCAAGTAATACAGGCATCTTAGAAGTACAGTAAAACTCACTAAGTGCACACCAATAGGACATACTGGTACCGCAGCTCCTTCACTCTTTCACTATTCCTCTCAAATGGCACCTTGTAGAGTTGTTTCATAGTCATTTGACATCTTTTCAAAACTCTGTCTCTGGTGGAAATGCTGACAGAATTTATATTTGCGAAGACATTGTCGTTTATGATTGCACTTTGGATCTCTCTTAGCCTGATGGAATTGTTGGCTATGACCAT